TTATATTTTACATTCTGTACTTTTTGTAGTGTCCCAGAAAACATGTCTGGGTCACGGTCAGCACCAAGATATGTTGTGAAAAGATTCATGTAGCACAACCAATTAGTGTTTTTAAGTGATATTTTGATGACGCTGTAAATGTTTTTACATCTATTACCAAGGATTTAACAACGTGTAGCCAAATCAAGTCATTTCGGTACATATATAACAAGTAATTGTACATAGCTAGCTCACCTGGCCCGAAGGGTTGAGCTTATGCCATGGTGCTGCGTCAGTCGTCAGTCCGTCATCAACTTTTTACTTAAGCAACTTCTTCTGAATAACCAAGAGGCCCAGGCTAATGATATTTGGCCAGTGGCATGCTGGGATGAAGGGCTACCAAGTTTGTTCAAATGAATGACCTTTGCCCATTTTCAAGGTCACAGGGGTCAAATATGTTGAAACTTTTAAACAATTTCTTCTAAATAACTAAAATGTCTAGGGTGTTATTTATTGAGCCAGTAGCATGCTTGGATAAAGGGCTACCAAGTTTGTTCAAACAAATGACCTTCACTCATATTCAAGGTCAAAGGGGTCAATTGTCTTAAAACTCTTTAAACGACTTCTTTTGTATAACCAAAAGGTCCAGTGTGATGATATTTGGCCAGAAGGATGTTGGCATGAAGGGCTACGAAGTTTGTTCAAATGAATGAACTTCATCCATACTCAAGGTCACAGGGTCAATTGTCTTGAAAACCTTTAAACAACTTCTTCTGTATAACCAAAAGGTCCATGGAGATGATGTTTGGCCAGAATGATGTTGGTATAAAGGGCTACAAAGTTTGTTCAAACAAATGACCTTCACTCATATTCCAGGTCACATGGGTCTATTGCCTTAAAAACCTTTAATCGACTTCTTTTGTATAACCAAAAGGTCTAGGGTGATGATATTTGGCCAGAATGATGTTGGCATGAAGGGCTACGAAGTTTGTTCAAATTACTGACTTTTGCCCATATTCAAGGTCACAGGGGTCAAATATGTTGAAATCTTTAAACGACTTCTTCTGAATTGACCTTGACACACTTTCATGGTCACATCTGGTCCATAGTGCATAAATCTTTAAAAGTCATCTTCTCAATAAACAAAAGGTATAAGGTGGTGATATTTGGCAAGTTGCATTCTGGTAGAAAGGGCTATGAAGTTTGTTCAACTTTAAATGTCCATGTTTGACTTTCAAGGTCACAGGGGTCAAATGTGTTTTAATCATTTAACAGGTTCTTCTGAAGTCAAGACACTGATATTTTGCCTGTAGTTTTATTTTAGTCCACTTTTAAGGTTACAATTGTGAGATTAATACCAGATGAGCGATGCAGGCCCATTGGGCCTCTTGTTTAAAAAATCTTCTTCTCCAGACTTTATCTAAATTGTTAATTTCATTACCAGGGCCATCCGTTCTCCCTTTGGTAGGTGGTAAAGTTTACAATAGTTTATAACTTTTTGGTATATATATTCAAACCTGGTTTGAATAATTATGAAACAAGATGGCAATAAGATGGTATGAGAAAAATAGATCCTGTCTTGCCCAAGGGGCTGGAGGGGTGGGACCCAAATGGGGAAAATTTCAAAATCTTCCTCTTCAGACTCGGATGTACTTCAATCAACTAATTTGTAAATATCCTTACCCCAGGTCATCTGCTCCTCTTTGGGAGAAAAAAAAAGAAATTTCTCCAGGTTTTGCCATGAAGGATAACAAGCAGACCTCTGGTTTGACCACCTGAATTGTTCAGTTTGCAGCAAACCTGTATGTGTTAGCTGTAGACTTGAGACAAGGTTTTATGGTTCACGCAAGTTCATGTCAACAGACCAGATGTTCATTTTAAGGCGAGTGAGACCAGAATAATGCTTTTGGTTTTCTCTATTGTAGTGGTCAGTGGCCTCCTGTTGACGGTCATGGGGTCAAGGTTCTATAAAACACACAAGGTCATGCCTGCAGGGATAGTTGCAGGCTTGAGGTAAGCAGTAATATTTTCTGGTAAATATTTTTAATAGTCAATTAACTTATTGAAATAATTAGAGCAATTGTTTTGTAACCTGACAGCCAATTCTTGATATACTGGTTTTAGCTCACCTGCCCAAAGGGCTAGTGAGCTTCTGTCATGGCGCGGGGTCTGTCGTCCTTCTTTCGCTCTCTGCATACTTGTCTACTTTTGAAATTTCCATGGGGGAGATTACGCATGCTCAGGATATAAACCATGAATAAAATGTTTGTATGTACACCCTAGAGAAAAATACACTTTTAAATGGCATCTTTTGGTCTGTTCTTTCAGGTGAAATCATCAGATCTTAGAAATATTAATGATTCAGTAAAAATGCTCAATTTTAGGTTCCAAAATAGGGAGTCTCCCTCCAAAATAGGTCGAGTTGGCAAGTATGCGTCTGTCAACTTTTCCTTTAAATGACTTCTTCTTGAGAATGGACAGGCATAGGGTCATATTTCTCTCAAAGTTTGAGAACCTAAATGACCTTGACCTACTTTCAAGGTCACAGGGGTCAAATGTGTAAATGACTCTTTTCAAAAACCTAGAGCCACAGGGTGATGATATTTGGGATTAAGGACTTGCAAGGATTTTTCAATTTAATGACTTTGTTAGACTTTAACCCTTTCACCACTGTAGACCATAATGGACTCATCCAGAGGAATGTATGGTATAGTCTACTCCAGTTACCTAGGGGTGAAAGGGTTAATGTGACAACGTCCTTGATGTTATCAATTAGTTCAAGTTTCTACCATCTTTTGGTCACATTGCAAAGTTCATACATTTGGCAGTTAAAGAACCAACTTTACTCAATGTTTTCATTGTTTCCTACTGCTTCCGTGAGATTTACATTTATTCTTCTTATGTCGGCTAGTACTCTAGAGCAGCGTGACGTTACCATAGTTTTTATACGTTTGTTGAATTTTCACTTTGATAGGTCTAGGTGAGGATGAAATTGGTAAGCGATGAATGACATGTGAAATTTGAGAAAGATCCCCCCAGTACTTTTTTGAAGTTAGCACTAACATAACAAACATTTTTTTTTTTTTGTACATTTGTAAATATTTAAGTGTTTTTGTATTTGTTTTTAGTGTACTCATGGTGGTGAGATTTGGCTACAGATTGACCCAGAAGTAGAGAGAGACGAGACATGTCCAAGCACTATGGAATGTTATCAAATAACTTTTCCTCTCAGACTGCTGGAGACTTTGGAGAACATTTAAAGTATATTTGTTATGCTTAGGCCATGAAATGGTATGGAAGTGTTAAATTACCCATATCAATACATACCACTTTGTCTTCATTCATTTTACTGCCTTCACTTAAAACTCTAATACTTTGCATTCAGAACCATAATGTCACAAATGAGTTAGCATTTAAGACTTATGGTTCATAAATATATAGCTGACATCAAGCCATCTCCATTTCCATATAAACCTTTGTTATTGCTCTGCTGGCTTTTCCCCAAATGATTTGAATGCAACTATACAAATTTCCAGACAAGTACACATCTCAAATGAATTCACGTTGCAGAGTTGCAGTTGTACTGCAAAATTATAGTATGATTTTGGCTTCAGTCCCTCAAATTTTCAACTTATTTTGTTAAAAAAGGTGAATGTGCCTGAATGGGAAAAAAACCCAAAAAACTTGGAAAACCTTTTGAACATCATTCTTTTACAAATTTACATAGCAGTGCCATTGTTCCATAATTTTCCATATATGACAAACAATGTACCTGGTATGAATTCTTTTTAGTTTTTCATTCAGTCAGTCCTTTTAATGTACACTAAGTACGTGGGTGATATTCTGGTGCTGTTTTTTCCCTGTTAGTGTTATATTTTTTTGTAATACATGTATATTTACTTAAAGGAGGCTCCACCCTTTCACAATTAAATCATTTAACCCCGAAGACACATTTGAACTCTTCCATATTAAAGGTTGGAATAGTTCATTATGAAATTTCTGGTTAAATTAGTTAACCAGCAGAATTCGTTGAAGCATTAACATAATTGTTATGCAGCTATGTAGAGGTGATTTTATGAAAATCTAAGCATTCTGGAAGACTGGATTTTATTGGAATTTGAGTTTTTGTCTATTTTAATATTTTCCATTGTTTGGCACCTGGTGTGATAATCCACAAGCTAAAAGTAAACCAGGATACATAGTTTCATACAATGAGAGTGAAAAATTGTACAAAATGATGGAAATAAGTTAAAATTATGATATCAGAATTGTCAATTTATGGTTCTTTTACGGAACCAAATTACTCTCAATCATGTACAGTTGGGACATCATTCCACAGCCATTAGCCCATTGTATATCTACATGTCAGGTACATATGTAACCAGAGGCTAAAGCATGTTAGCCCATTGTATATCTACATGTCAGGTACATATGTAACCAGAGGCTAAAGCATAGCTCATTGTATATCTACATGTCAGGTACATATGTAACCAGAGGCTAAAGCATAGCTCATTGTATATCTACATGTCAGGTACATATGTAACCAGAGGCTAAAGCATAGCTCATTGTATATCTACATGTCAGGTACATATGTAACCAGAGGCTAAAGCATGTTAGCCCATTGTATATCTACATGTCAGGTACATATGTAACCAGAGGCTAAAGCATGTTATGCCATTTACACTTGCATTTTCATAGGGATCTTGATATTTTACAAAACACTACTTTCAGAGTTAGTGCACTGCATTTGTTAAGATGATTTACTGGACGAAGCATAACATGCTCGACAACAAAAAATCTAAGGACCTCTAGATTATGAACTGGTATAAGAGTGTGATTTGTTTTTTAAGTAAAATCTGGGCCTGTATTCATGAAACCTTTTTAAGCTAAAGATCGGATTTTGTGCTTACGCCCAATTTATTATACCCGAGCTATAAATTAATAAAAAAAATACTTATTTGACAAGGATTTGGAAATATTTTGAAGAGACTTGAAGCCAGCTACTGTTTTCAATATTTACATTTGACTTTTTGATTGTTTGACACAATTTAAGCGAGTTACAAGAAAGTTTATTTGAGCAGAGTCCATGCTTGAGCATGAGAAGAGTTTCATGAATACCGGGCCTGGGTGCATGTTATACAATTGAAATAGAAAAGGTTCATCTGCACTCTTGGAACAATTATTAAATGTGAAAAAAATCACCAAATGATATAATATTCTTTTGACTAGGTCGCTTCCCATTGGGGGTATTTGTGTCAGAGGTTTAAAGGATGAAATATTGGTTCAGACTTTTATATAGTCAAAACTGTATTTGATCAAAGTGTTTGAGTTTTTAGTAAACTTGTGTGGCCGTAGAAATGATTTTAATTGGGGTAACATTGCAAGAGTTGAATAAGGATTTAGCGATACTGTACATGTATATGGTTAAATCCTTGCAGTGTTAGTAATCAAAAGCCTTAACATTTGAGAATATATTTTGAGAGTAATGGGCAGTGTAAAGTAATTTGTGCATGTAATTCATGTTTTCGTTATAAAACTAACGGAATACATAAACAAAATGAAACCAATTTGTTTTTGTAAATAAAATAATTTTATTGTAAATTAAGTTTTGATTTTCTTCCTTTTGGGTTGACTTTCTAGAATGATTCCTTTCCTTTTAGATTTTTCACTTCTCTTCCCCTGGAGTTGTTTTAGTTTCTCAGGACCTTTGTCTTTGACTTTTTTGCTATGTTTCAGTTTCTTTCCTTTCACTTTTGTGTTTTCATCTTCACTTTCATCCTCAATGTTCACCTCTACTGTTTCACATGAAACATTAACTCCAGAATCTTGTGAATCTGTTTCAGCCTTTCTTTTCCAAGATACTTTCTTGGAATTTCCTGATTTTCGATTAGCCACCGTCTTTTGTGATTTCTCCTGTGATGTGTCTATCAGTTTTTTATCAGCAGCCATCTCCTGTGATGTGTCTATCAGTTTTTCATCAGCCTGGCAATCTGTTTTTGTGCCTTCTTTGGGTTTGCTTTTGAATAAAGACACTGCCATGCATGTCAGTCTGAAGGTGGTGTTGTGGGAAATGACCAGGGATGTGTCCACTTTATCCTGTAATACACAACATAAGCAGATACAGAATTATATAAAGTTATCATTGATAGCTAAACATTGCCATACAAACACACAAAATACAACCACATCCTCTTTTTATACAAAATTGAATTCCCTTTGCCCAAAGATGCTCTAGAACAAATTTGGTTAACAAAAGAAGGATTTTTATCTTCTATTTTCCCTTATGGGCCGGGCCCACCCTTCTGCTCTAAAGAGGGGGCCAAAGCCCAAGTTCATACACAATCGAATAGTCTTTTAACCCTATTGATGCTCCAGACCACTTTTGGTTTGAATCCCTTCATTTGTACACAAAAAAAACATTTTCCTCTATTTCCCCTCTGCCCTGAGCCTCCTTATATACAAAGATGCCCTAGATTTATTTGTGTCAAAATCCCTTTATTGGCCGAGAAGAAGATTTTGTAAGATTTATCTCTTTTTTCCCCTCACAATTGGCCCCTTCTGCATTTATAAACGAACAGGCTCCGGAGTTCATAACTTGACAAGTAAGTTATTTTATCATTGGGCTTTATTCAGCAACATTCTTTTTGTAGAATTTTAACTTGGGTTAAATTTTTCTGCAATTAATTACCAGTAGCTAATTTGCTTTTGTAAGGAGACAAAAAATATTACAGTTACAGGGAGGGTTGATTACAGACACTGACCCCATTCTATGTGGGGAGAGAGATTATTTGCAAGCGGGTTTTATTTGTGGTCAAATTTGTAGTAAAGAACTTTATTTCATATATTTTTTTTGTATGACATACCTCTGCCATCTGTACTTGGAATATTTTGATGTGTCCATCACTGGAGGCGGTGAACAACCAGTGGTTGTTTTCATTGCTCTCTTCACCTTCCTTCACTGGGGCAGGAACAATTGACATTGCCCTAACTCTGTAAATATTTAATACAGCATTAATTTACAAATGGAATTTTATACTTTAATTAAAAACCTGCTGACTAATGTACAGTGCAGGACTATAAGCATCCTCGAAACTCCAGGGGCTACCCTCACTTTTGCTTTCTGCACCCCTGGAATATGTCATAGCAAAATTGAAGGCACGAAAAGAGCTGTTTTATTGGTCTCGGGTAAAAAATACCTGACCAACCGCTAGGCTAATACTTGTCCTTTGAAGATTACAAAGGAGTGACATCCAACTTCAAAGCCAGTCAATTTTTACCGTTGAGCGATCGCAAGATTCTTTTGATGTACATCAAAGGATCGAACAAGTCTTCTTGTCTCGTCAACAAGGTGGTGTGCACACCTAGCCTTCGATTTTGCTCGGACATATTCCAGGGGTGCAGAGAGTGAAAGTGAGCGTAACCCCTGGTTATCAAGGATGGAATATAAGCTGTAGCAAGGATTTAATCCCTAGGGGTAGTAATGACACTGAGGAATTCCTTCCAATACCAAATGGTGAGGCAGGACCTCAGGTCTAATTCTAGTAGCATGAAAGTAGTATCTTCTCTTCATGGCCACTGATTGTATATTTGGTTAAATGGTGGTGATCTGAACTGACTCTCTATGGTATGCCCCAGAAAGTAAGCCCCAAGGGGTAGAGCTGGATCCCTGACCTAATCCTGGTAGCATGAATAAATTTGTGCAATTTTCTCCAACATTTACATAAATAACAATTAACAATTTATTTCATTTATTACACTTGTATCAATTTGAATAAAAACTTCTCATGTTTCCACATCTAGCTATGTCTGATGGATATAGGGCATCTCACTTCCAGTTCAGACAAACTAAAAACAATCAAAAACAGCTTGATCATTTATCATAATATGTTGGTTATTATACCATTTTTCTCTGGCAACTACAATACAAGAGGCCCATAGGGCCTGTATCGCTCACCTTGATATCTAAGCAATCATGGCAGAATATTCTCCAAATGAGATCCAAGGGAATATGCCAGACCCCAAGGCCAATCCTTGTAGCATATATATCTGTATTCAATTTTTCATGCCCAGCAATTTTATGTATGGTTATGGGGTGGGGATCTCAACTGTTTCCAAGCTGTGACGCAGAAACTAGGTCCCTACGGTTGTGGCCAGACCCCAGGATCAATTCTAATATCATGACTGCATTTGTCTCTTTTT